ATATTTTTTTAATTATTATTATATTTTTATACATTTCGAGTGCACAATAACGTTAGACGAATTGCACTTTAGCAAATATATTATTGTTATTAATATTATATTTTTTTACATTTCGATTGCAAAATAACGTTGGACGAATTGCACTTTAACAACTAATTAGTTGCATAATATAGAACAAATTAAAGTATTCAGTAGACATTTTGTTGTTTGAACTCTTAATCCGCGCACACACAAACACTAAATTAAAGTATTCAGTAGACATTTTGTTGTTTGAACTCTTAATCCGCGCACACACAAACACATTAATGTGCATTTAAGCATCATTATTGTCATTTAGTTTTTTTTAATGATTTTAGATTTACTTATCATTGCACTAACTACTTTCTAATGAATTAAAAATTAACCTAAGCACTAAACTGCATTATAGTTTTTCTGTATTTGCACATAAGCCCTTGGTACATGTCAAATTCTCAATTCACGTCCCTTGTCCCCTCAACATTTAGCTTTGCCGTTCTCCACAATCTGCCGGCGATGGTAACATCCACGACCTCCAGTGACGTTATAATAACACCGGATCGACCCCGGCGTCGTGGCCGGAAGCCTAATCCATGGCCGACGAGATTGAAATTAACAGTTAGGTAAATTTGGGATTTAGGACTTAGAACTTAATGAATCTGTCGCCGTCGGAGGAGATGAGCGGGAACTCGACGGCACCTTGCGATAGCATGACAGACCGTTAGCCGAAACTCGACGGAAATTCGCCGGAGAAGAGAAGCCGACGGAGGCTTTCTCTAACAAATATTCTGAGAACGATTGAGATCGGGAGAGAGAGTTAGAGATACAGATCGATGGCGCAAGAACGGGGATGACGACGTCAAAATTGGTGGTGATTGCGGCGGCGGAGGGCGGCGACCGCGGTGGCTGTCGGCGGCAGGCTGATGATCTTTTGCCACTTATCTGTGGTCCTGCGGGAGGATTTGTAAGAGAGGGAAGGAAAGGTGGGGCCCACTGTAATTAGGTGGTGAGTTGTTATTTTAGGCAATGTCTATTTTACCCTCATTGAGTGGTTAAATGTAAATATTTGATCATGATTTATACATTTAATTACCAGAATGCCATCATATATTTGACTGCCATAAATAAAATTTGACTTCATCATGACCCTTGGTAGGATGTATCCAATGATCCAGATCCATTCTTATTTCTTTCACTAGAAACCATTCTCATATGATCCTTTACCTATATATATATATATATATTATACATTATTATTATATTTTATATTAGTATTATAGTACTAACTACATAATTAACAATATGTCATTTTGGTATGTAATCTATAATAGCGTTCTAGTTTTGTAATATAATATATAATAAAATAAAAGTTCAATTGTCCAAGTAAAAAATAAACAATCAAACCCAAAACGAAAAAAAAAAAGACGAAACAAAAAATTTGGTAAATATTTATGGTAGACCTTAAATCACTACAAGAAAACACTTCAATTACAACGAAAAATTCCAACGGCAAAAATTTTCGTTGGAAATTCCAATGATTATTCCAACAAACTTAATTTTATGTTGGAATAAGCGTTGGATGGTTGATGAATTCCAACGGACTTTTTCCGTTGGAATAGTTGTAAGAATTTATTTTCATAGGATATTTCGTTGGATTTTAACTATTCCAACGGTCGTTTTTGCCACGAATTTTTATACGTAGGAATATCCGTTGAAATAGCTATTCCAACGTGAAATATAAAGAATTCTAACGGAAAATTTCCGTTGTAATGTAGTGAATGTTGTTGAGTGGTCACTTAAATTTAATAAGTTGGTATGTTACTTATAATAAAATCAATACTCTTTGATAATTTGGTCTAAGTAAATACTTGAATCGGTGTGTTTTTTTAATGGAAATCATGGAATCAATATGTTGGTTGTTTGTTTTAAATTTTAATAGAATCAATACTCTTTGGTTTAGTTTATATGTTTGTCCAGTTTTGTCTCGGTCCCGGACCTTTTGTCCCTTAATCCCGTACCGGTTCATAAAAGTTAGGTCGGTGCCGGGACAAGTTAAATCTCGGACCATCCCAAACCGCGTCTACCAAGCCACTAGAAAATCTCAACTTGGAAGCTCTATTATCCGATGTCCAATATCACAGATCCGCCTGTTTAAATTGTTTTTTGAACTTAACATTTTTAGAAAGATTCTTTCATGTCTTGTTTTTGGCAATGGTTAATGAATTTGAGTTGTCAAGATTCCGGTTTTCTGTTCCATTGGATAATAAATACTGATCAAATCCATAATGGATATTTAAATTAAATGGATAATCTGGAATTGAATCTCACACACTCATGGTGAGAAAATAAAATTAAATAATGAATGTGATATATAAAAAATTAAACTTAATATTGAACACAAATTTGTCCTTTTCTGCATGTAACTACTCGTGTGCATATCTCCAAAAGATTGAGAAAGTTCATATTTGTTTTTCATTGATCGATGAATGCCACGTGCGTAACACTGACATCATCATGAATATGTAATTAGGAGATGTTGCGGTCCCGTTACGGAATCACTTCGTCGGGGGTTTGTAACCGTTAGATCAACTATCTCCGACGGTTACTGATGATTTAACGGTTACAAACCCTCGCGTAATGATTCCGTGACCGGATCGTAACATTTTCCTAATTCATTTAAATGAGCCAAAAATAAATTACAATACAATTTTTTTTTAACGACATGTCTTATCCCTCTTAATTATACTAATAGCAAAGTAGTCACTAGTAAGACAAAAATAAAAAGTACCTAAAAACATAAACAAAAAATTACACAAAAAAAAAAATAATAATAAATAAAATCATTTTTGGTTCAATAAATTGGCTAATTTCAGAAGAATGGTAATCAACCGAAAAATTCTGATGCAATTAATTAAAATTATTATACTAAAACAGTGATTAAGAATATATCTTCATAACATGGGGAATATATACGTAATGATGCAATCACAACTGCATGTGCAATTAATTATGCAGTCAAGCCAAACGCACTCGTGAACACAATTTTATATTTGGAAAATTATTTCAGAGTTTTAACAAAATATAATATATATATATATATATGAGATGATTTAAATAAATTTAAATTCTCATATGTGATATTATTTTTAAATGTGTAATATAATATTTTTACTGGCATCAGTTATATAGATTTTATTTGTAAATTACACAATTATACTACAGTATAATATA